ATGAATGAAATTACAAAATGCCACTGAGGCTGTGTGTGGGTTTTTCATAGAGACCCGGGGAAAGGCCACATTTTCTACATAGGTTGATAAAGCCAAAAAGTGAACTGCTTTCCCAGGCCCAAGAGCTGAAGACAGATAGTCAATGAAGATATGTCTTTAGGGATTGCCAGAGATCATGAGGAGTGTATTAGGGTCCCACAGATCACGGAACTGGGGAGATGGAAGCCAAGTTTACTTCACTCTCTTGAGAGTTACATGAAGGCTCCTACTGGCATCCCAAATATTCATTCCCCGGGATAATATATATTCATTCATTCAAATTATATAAAGTCTTTGCAAGGCACTGGGCCACACATTATGATATGGTAATGTGTGCTTTGTGATCAGAACATGAGGAAAATACAGTCAGTGTGAGCGACTTCTAGAAAAGGTGCACTGCAGCAGAAGCTTGCAAAATGAGGGGCATGAGACAGGGAAAGTGTGAGGGAAGAGCATGTCCAGACTCTGAAGTGGGTAGGAGTGAGGTGCCTTAGAGGAACCAGGTCAGCTGGGGGAGTAAAAGTCCTTCGGAGAGTAGTAGTGCTGCACGAGGCAGTCGAAGTAGAGGCTCACAGTCTTGTTAAGTTTGGAGTTTTAATTTGACAGGAGTGTCCAATCATTATAGAATTTAGGCAGAGGGTAAGTTTTAAAAGATCTCAGCAGCCTCAGTCCACCCAGACTGGGAACATCTCACCTTTTGCGAGCTCCTTATCTCATGTAACAGCAGCTCTAGCAAGTTTTGCCTATGGGTGAATGTGTGCTGTGTTTGTCCTCCCACCTCTAGGATGCCCTAAAGGACTCTTTGGGAAGAACTGCAAAAGGAAATGTAACTGCGCCAACAATGGCCATTGCCACAGGGTGTACGGTGCCTGTGTGTGTGAGCCAGGGCGCTATGGGAGGTTTTGTCATCTGAGTAAGTCACAGGCACTACATTTGCTCTCTGTGTGAAGCAAGGAGGCTCAGAAAAGTACCAAAAATTAGAAAAAGGAAGAGACTAAAACCACAATTTACACACACACACATATATGTATGTATATGTGACAATTTATGTTCTAGTCTTTGTTTAGACTTCTTATTTTAGAGACTCTAGATTTTGATGAATGAAAGAAAACTATTTCTGAATTCTTTACGTGTTTTTCTCATTAGTGTTTACCTTAATTATTGAGAAAGGAATGTTACTAGCTCATTTAGAAGGAGGCTTGGCACTTTGTGGCAGCTGCATATTAAAATGAACAGAAAAAGTCTCCATTATTTCTGGGTTCTAGTGCATAACAATATCATTCCCTAAAATTTCTGCAACAGGCTATTTATTTTGCATTTTGGCCATCAATCATGTTTTGCAAAAGATGTGAGAACACACAATCACCAATGAGTACTTCAGTCTCTTAAGTAGCTTATAGGATTTCTCTTAATGGGACGTCTCTGGGTGCCCACCATCCCATCTTGTAGCCATGTGCGAGGACCTGCGAGCCTGAAACATTCTCCACCCTGTTCCTCTACCTGTTCTGTGTGCCCTCCTCTGAAAGTCCTCCCAAGTGGACCTCAGAAATACCATGACCCATCCTCCTATCTAATAAGAGGTAATATGCAAGTTGACCATCATTCCAACACACAAGATGGCCACCCCCATGTGAACACAGGATGGCTGGCAGGGGAGGGCAGTTGTGGGCAATCAGGGCAGCAGGGGAGGGCAGTTGGGATGGACCAGGCCAGCAGGGGAGGACAGTTAGGGGTTTCAGGCCTGCAGGGGAGGGCAGTTGAGGGGGACCAGGCCAGCAGGGGAGGACAGTTAGGGGTGACCAAGCTGGCAAGGGAAGGCAGTTAGGGGTGAACAGGCCAGCAAGGGAGGGCAGTTAGGGGCAATTGGGCCGGCAGGGGAGTGGTTCAGTTAGACATCGATCAGGCTGGCAGGGGAGTGGTTCAGGGTGATCAGGCTGGCAGGCAGAAGTGGTTAGGGCAATCAGACAGGCAAGCAGGCAAGTGGTTGGGTGCCAGCAGTCCTGGATTGTGAGAGGGATCCCAGATTGGAGAGGGTGCAGGCTGGGCTGAGGGACACCCCTTGCCCCTCCCCGCACATGAATTTCGTGCACTGATCCTCTAGTTTCTTAATAACAGAGACCTTTTAGAGTTTTATAATGCATTTTTAGTTGACTATCCATGGATTTTGTCTATTTTATAAAGGTATGTCCTGAGAAAACAGACAGTAAATTGTGACTCCAAATAGAGAGCCAGGAAGGCATCATGGAAAGCTAAACCTGGGTAATGAGGAACGGTCTGGCTTGGGTTAGTAATATAGAAGAGAAGGGGAGAAGGCAGGGGTAAATTTGAAACATGCATGTGCAGAGGGCCTGTCCCAGAACATCATGTACCTCCTAGAATATGCCAAGAGAAGAAAACTCACCTAGAAACAAAGATAACATCATTTCTATTATTGTTCCTCCAAGGCAGCAATTGTCAACCTTTGCATCTAGTGGCATACATAAACTAATTACTAAAATTCTGCAAGACACCAACAAATATTTTTTTTTTGGTGATGTGACAAAAAAATAGGTATAATTTTTTATTGGTTTACCAAAAATAATAATAGTAATTACCTACCCTTTTGCTCCAAAGTGAGTTTAAAAAAAAAAAAATCAGGTGCCTATACTTATACCTAGTATATAAGGATTTCTGGTACCAAGAATTAACCAATCAGATGCAACCTTATTTGTGACATGACCAATAAGATGCAATTCTATTCTAGTACCTCTATATTTATAGTTCAAGACTGGGCATTCACACCAGAGAGCTGTTGTTGTGTTGGCTGTGTCATTTTTTTAAAATTATTTGACAATCTAAGGGAAAAGAGGGTCAGCCCCTGACTAAATAGTCAGGTATTGCATGTCTTAAAAATTCCTGCAGCACACCAGTTGAAAATCGTTGCTCTGGGATGACAGGGTACATCCCATTTTGTAGCAATAACTTTTGAATATCTTATAAGGCAATACTAGATATTTTGGCAAAAAAAAACACATTAAAATCATAACTCATCTGGTCAAATATTTGAAGAGCAAATGGTGGTGGTGGTAATAGTAGTTAGCATTTTGAATGTGACCATGTTTCAAAAATATATGCACTTTTCAATTTTTCAATACTTTTTGCTTAGATGTGAGGCCTCATTTATTAATGCCACTTGCCTGCCCCTGAGAAGCTTCAGTTTGAAAACCTATATTAATTTTTTAGAGCTGTTGTAATAAAGTGCCACAAACAGAGTGCCTTCACTGATTGATATCTATTGCCTCACAGTTCTTGAGGCTACAAGTCTGGGGTGAAGGTGTTAGCAGGCCATACTCCCTCTGAAGGCACCAGGGTCAGTTCCAGACCTCTATCCTAGCTTTCTTCGCTTATGACAGTATAACTCCAGTCTTCACATGGCATCCTCCCTGTATGAGTATCTCTGTGTCCAAATGTCCTCTATGTATAAGGACACCAGCCTTATCAGATTAGAGGTCCATCCTTCAGTATAACCTCATTTTAATAGATTACATCATTAATGATGTAGTTTACAAATAAGGTCACTTTCTGAAGTACTGGAGGTAAGGACTTCAACATATGAATTTTTGGAGGACATATTTCAATGTATAACACTGAGTAAACACTGGATTGACTAAAGAAGTTACTTCTCCCACTTGTCCTTTTTTTTTCTAGTCACATTTCCAGTGATAAGTTCTTGATATACCCACCTGTCACATTTTAAGTACTCAGTGCCTGAGCTGTCCACTGAGCCACTATTCTGGATGCTGGGCCAGAAAGAGCAAGGGCATGGAAGTCAATGCAGGGAAGAGTTCTGGGATGAACAAGGAGAGGCCTGCACCAAGGAAGATAATCTCACTGAGAGACCTTGGGGATGGTAGGGCTGAGGAAGAACTCAATACTTGGAAGCCACAGGAAAGATGAACAAGGATTAGTATAATTTATCATCCAAATGAGATAATATTAACAGTGAAAAAGGAGCCCTGTTAATCTGTTCTGCTTTAGAGTTAACCCTGTCCATCCTGGCAGGGACAAGAATCACCCTACATCATGCATTGTAACCACCACTCTCAATTATCTCTGCTAATAATCCTATATAATAAAAGCATAGTATGCAAATTGTCCTCTCGACCAGGAGTTCATCCGGGAGTTTGACCAGGGGGCGGAGCTGGCCGGGGGAAGGGAGGGAGGCCCCAGTTGGCAGCCGCCAGCTGCTAGGGACCCTACCAGTGCATGAATTTCATGCACTGGGCCTCTAGTAGTAGATATTAGAAGATGTTAATTTCCATTCACCAGAAAAAGCCTGTATAGGCATACAATACAATTACCTTGAGCCTGGAGGGCACTTGAAGGATCTTTTACTTGATAAGTCCCTTGGACATCTGTAAGGGGGGGAAGAAAAAATGGCCAGAGGTGTATTTTGGAAAGGGGATTGAATTACTGTAAGTAACTCCTCAAAGAGAGACCTAAGGGTAGGCTTTCCTGAATGCAAAGGTAGGATTTTCAAGTGATATTTCCTGTGCTATCATTCCATTTGTAGAACCTGATTGCATGGGGAAAATAGTGAAGGGAAGGCAAGCACCATTTGTCAAAGATGTAGCCAAGATAATGCTACTGTCAGGATGAAAGTTTTGTGTTATCTACAGAATGTAAAAGTATTTCTGATTACCATGTAATGAAAGGGAAGGGGAACAATGGTGAGCTTCACATCAGTGCTTGTCCATCATCTCCATGCTGTGGCAGGATGAATATGGGGCCTGGCAGGCCTTTGCAGGCCTTGGAGAATTTTAACTATGGGCCCCAATGGAGCACATTGAGAAGCAATTTCTACTAGAAGCCGCAAAGCCTTTTAAGTAGTGCAGGCTTCACTGTTCACATCCACTTGCCAAAAAGCAAATGAATTGCCTGATTTGAAAGACATTTGTTTCCCTCGTTTTTTGTTTTTTTCTTTTGGCAGTTAGGATGATACCCTCGTTTTCCCTGTAATCAGGCCCTGCAGAACTACATGCCTGTGCACTAACAATGTGGAAAACACACCAAGGTGTGGTTTTCAGGTGACAGTTTGCCTCAATTTGCTTGCAGACTGTCCCAAGGGGGCCTATGGGGCTGGCTGCGCTTCCGAATGTCAGTGTGTGGAGGAGAACACCCTGGAATGCAGCGCCAAAAATGGCAGTTGCACCTGCAAATCTGGTTACCAAGGCAACAGATGCCAGAAAGGTACAATCTGATGCTCAATTTTCTTTCTTCTCTAATAACAATGCTCAGCCTTTGTTCAGCACCATCTGATCATTAATTATTTCATCCGCCAGTGTTCTTAGGAGATAGGTAAGCTTTATTAATCCCCTATTTGCAGGTGAGGAAACTGAGACACAGGGCAATAACCTTATTTAACCTTGTCATCTCAGCCTCTGCTTTAGCTGTCCCCTTAGGAGCTTGGGCAAGGAAGGGAAGAAAGATCACTTTGCAGAGACCCTTGTCGTAAGAAGATTAAAGCTGGTCCGTCCCTTCTTTGAGGTGAACAAATCAACCAAGGGCACTGCTAACTTTCAGAGTAAAAAAAAATAATTCTCTTTATATCTAAAGACAGATCATTCAAACAAATACACCTCAAAAGTCTAACCACAGAAACATGTTGGAAAATTTAAATCTAGTTATCAGTGTGGTCCTTTTGCATATTTCTAAGTATTACATAGTTTTGTTTTGTTTTTGTTTGTTTGTTTGTTTTTAAATATATTTTATTGATTTTTTACAGAGTGGAAGGGAGAGAGATAGAAAGTTAGAAACATCGATGAGAGAGAAACATCGATGAGAGAGAAACATCGATTAGCTGCCTCCTGCACATCTCCTATTGGGGATGTGCCCGCAACCCAGGTACATGCCCTTGACCGGAATCGAACCTGGGACCTTTCAGTCCGCAGGCCGACACTCTATCCACTGAGCCAAACCGGTTTGGGCAGTTTTTTTTAAATAAATATAGAAATATAAAAGTTTATGTACATCCTAATTCCAATTATAAGTAACATATGTTGATATAAGTGTGTCAGTGCATAGAAAATTTGGAAAGGGTATTCCGTGTTTTAGAAATGGCTGTCTCCACTGTGGTCTCATGGACATCTCCCTGGGTATCTGCAGGGTTCTTCCACTTTATCACCAAGCCTTAGGCCACCTTTTCACTGAACCTCATCAGTACCACCCTCCTTAAAATTGCAACTTGTATGTCTTTTTGAACTCTTATTATTTTTTCCCAAGTGCTTTTTATCTTTAAACATAACATATCCTATAATTACTATTATGTCTAATATTTATTGCCTGTCTTGCCTGCTAGAAGCTAATCACTACAGAAGGGTAGCTGTTCCTTTTGTTCAACAAAGTGTCCTCAAACTCCTAGAACAACCCTGACATCCAGGACTTGGTCAATAAGTGTGCTTTGAACTGAATACATAAAATGAATCTTTAATTTTATTTTTTATAGATATTTTCTCATGGTATCATGTATTCTGCATTAAGCACTTGGCACTGCTTTATTCAGGAGAAATTATCACAGCAAGACGGAACATATAACAAATGAAGTGATCATAACTAACAGCAAGGTGAACTATTTGCCTTTGACATGATCCAAGAACAATCTTTTTTCCCACTTTAATATATTTTTATTGATTTCAGAGAAGAAGGAAGAGGGAGATAGAAGCATCAATAATGAGAGCAAATCATCCATCAGCTGCCCCCTGCACAACCCCCACTGGGGATTGAGCTTGCAACCCAGGCATGTGCCCTAAACTGTGAATGGAACAGTGACATCCTGGCTCATAGGTTGATGCTCAACTACTGAGCCACGCCAGCTGGGTAAAGAGCAATGTTTTTTAAATCAGGAGGACATTTGGTGGTTTTATAACCAGTCAATCAAGGGTCTGAGCTGCCTGTCACTATTTGAGCCAATTCAACAAGAGACAGTGTTGAATCAATAATGCTGACAATATGGGAGAGTAGCAGGTCATCCACAAAAATCTGCTCTGTCCTCCACCATAAGCCAGCTGCTTATATTGGGTAGAAAGATGAAGATTATATGGGGAAGTAGGCAAAAGGGCATGGGAAATGGGTAGTTTACAGGTAATGTGGGCTGGATATTTGCAAAGGCCTGAGGATAGGCAAAGGGCTGAGTGCTCTGGTTTCTACAACAAGGTTTTTCATCTTTCCATGATACTAGACAGCTCCAGGATGGGGAGGATGGGCTGCATTTCCAAGTGAGCTCCCAGCTCCTGTGTGCAACTCCCAGCCAGGTTAGAATGTGCCTTCTTTAATCAGAACAACACAATCACGGTTAACAGAGCATGATTAATACTTCTTACAATAATAGCTGACCCCCGATATTCTATTTCTGCCCCATCAGGTTTGAAAGGAGATAATCACACCTGATCGTCCATTCACAGCAACAGGCCCTGGGTGTGGAGCTGTCTTTGGCCTTTGTATATCACAAGTGCTCCTTTCATGACCATTTTCTGAGAGTTGCAGGGCCTGTTGGAGGTGACTGAAAGGGAGAAAGTGCTCTAGGTCTCCCAGGTCATCCTGTGGCTATAGAACTAGTGTGTGTAAGCAGCAATGTCCATCTAGATTTCATGGAGCGAGGGCCATTTAGGGAGCTGGACTGTGACTTTTTAAGCAATGGGGAAAAGTACTTGGGCCAGAACCCTGATATTACACAAATGTGTTTTCCATGGTGTAAGAGTGGGTCCCATGCTAATCTCTCAGCCTCCTTCTGCTTCAACTGATTTTTAAGGCTAGAGTCAGCCCCTTATTCCCATCCCCACCAGAGAATCCATGGCCTGGAAGGCAATGCATGAGGAGACAATACCATATACACACACACCTGGGCAAAGTTAATTTATTCTGATAACATTCTCTTAAAGCAGCTGCTGAATATACTGTATTGGAACATGCTCTGAGATTCCCACTGTGAAGAAAAATGAGTTGAAAGTATATGCAAATCAGCAAAATAGAGAGGTCACCATAATCTCTCAAAAACATATTATTTTTCAATCAGATAACTTTGTCCAATTCTGATATTTGTGTCTAACCACAGAATGAAATTATGAATCAGACCGGAGTGGGTGAATGGGATCACCATGATTGGCAGCTGAAATCAAGGCAAAAAGAGCTCTCCAAACCATGGGCATGATGAAAATCAGGCCTGTTTTTCTTTCCCTTTTTCAAGTGCTCCTAGAGCCAGACATGTCTTTAAAAATCTTGACTTCATCCCTGAGTCTCGATTGCAGATGAATAGTTAATTAAAGGCGGCAAATTGTTTCAATGGCACTAATGAACAGTGCTCTCCACAATCAGCACCAGGTCTCGCTCAGCCCATCAGTCATGACTTTTAAGAGCAGGAGAGCCAGTATCTACAGGAATCTGTGAAAGAGCAAAAATGAGAGTGAGGGGAAATAAAATCCAGCCAATGTTTTTGTTTTGATTAGTTTGTAGCCCGGGGCATTTTGGACCCCAGCTGCAGGCAGACCTCTGAATGTGGAGGACTCTGGCCCAGCCGGCCCTGGAGTCCATCTATGGAGGCTTATTTGACCCTTATATCACTATAATAAGGACAGACTTAGGTTACAGTCGTTCCACATTGAATGAACTTCAAATTTGAACTCTGGTGTCTCTCAGTTAATTGACTTGACAGGTGCTGAGTGGCTAGTTTTGCAGCCTAAGTTTGCTGTAGTGACACGAGTCAGAAGATCTGGGTTCGATTCTAACTTTGCTCTTTCTGAGCTGTTTGGCCCAGAGTAAGTCACTTAACCTCACCCAGCCTCAATTTCCTATTTAAAATGAAGCTAAAGTTGCTTATGTCATATAGTAATTCTTATGCAAATGTGAGCTAATGTATGTAAAGTGCACAGGACAGAGTAAGTGATCAAGAGATAAGAGCCAGAAATGGTTTAAACATCCCAGGAAATTTAATAATTCTGTTATTCAGTGAAACGGTGCCCAGGAAAGAAGATACTTCACAGGCTAACTTGGTCTGATGTAACTTCCCACAATTGTGATGTGTTTAGAAAAGTTTCACCATTGTCTCCGTGTTAAAGGAATGCTTTCTACCAGGTTCCTAATTCCAGTGGTTTTGGTGGTAGGGTGCAGGCTGAAGCCTCTATCCGAGCCCTCAGAGATCCCAGCAGCATCAGCCCTCTTTTCCAGCTCAAAGGCTTTCAACAAAGCAGCACTTTCTCCTCTTTGTACGTTGTTTGCTCCTATAAAATACACAAATTAGAAGTCCCTGGGGTGGTTCTTCTGGCTTACAATAGAAGCAAAGATTAGGAGAAAGGATTCAGGAGACCATTTGGGGACAGCTTCCCTAGCATCACTCCTCCTAAGCTTCCTTTACAAATTACATCTCATTTTCAGGTTTTGTTCTGTGCAACTGCCTCCAAAGACATATATCAAAATCGCTTCCATTGTCACTGTCTGAAAAACCACATTTTCAGCAAAAACACAAACTCTGTATCTGTGTTTCCAACGTGACAAGATACAGCATCATGTTGGTTTCTTCAGGGAATATTTTTGGAAGTGCTAGAAATCCTTGGAGGCTACTCAAATGTTCCTTTGTTTGCAGCCCAGGGGTACACACATGCACTCACTCACACACATACACACACGCGCACACATGCAACACTTTTCCAACTCACTTACCTGGGACCATCTTGATTTATTACAAGTCTTAGCTCCTTTCTCTCTGTCTTTTTACTTTATAAGCCTGCCCTGATGGACTCTGGGGACCAGAGTGCCAGGTCTCCTGTGGACCCTGTGAGAATGGAGGTCAATGTAACAAAAAAACTGGAAACTGTGACTGCCCTCCTGGTTACACAGGAAAAGACTGCACCACACGTAAGTCATTAATCTAGAAAAGATAACCAACAAATCAACAAAGTTGTTAGCTTTATAAATGCTTTTTTTCTAACTGATCTATGAGGTGTTTTGATAGGGCACATCTTTCAATTATCTATTAAATTACCTATTAAAATTATGATTTTTTATTTCTTTTGATCTTGTGGGTTGATGAGATGCTTCTCCTGCCGGTCTAACTTGGAGTCACTGGTGGTTACTTCCAGTTAGTACATTATCCGGGAAATGGGATTGAGTGGCCTTCTCAGTCAGGGAATCTAGCCTTTCCCGTATATGGCATTTCCATAAGGTTAGCCTGGGCTTCCTCATAGCATGGCAATCTCAAAACAAGAGTCCAAGAAGGAGTGCCCCCAAAGTGTGAAAGTGGACGCCATAATGTGTCAGAAGCTTAGCTTCAGAAGCCACACATCATCATTTCTGCCACATTCTATTGGTTAAAACAAATCAGAAGGCCAGATTCTACCTCTGATCAGAGTAGTGGTAAAATCACATTGCAGAAGATCTGCTAGCTAGAAGATAAGGTTGCAGCCATCTTTGCAACCAAGTTATCACAGTATTTGAAGTTATGCTAAGATGAGAGGCACTCTAAAGAATCTGTTAGCCCTAGGTGGTTTGGCTCAGTGGATAGAGCGTTGGCGTTCGGAATCAAGGGTCCCAGGTTTAATTCTGGTCAAGGGCACTTGCTTGGGTTGCGGGCTTGATTCCCCAGTAAGGGGCATGCAGAAGGCAGCCAATAAATGATTCTCTCTCATCTATGTTTCTATCTCTCTCCCTTTCCCTTTCTCTCTGAAATCAATAAGAACATATATATTTTCAAAGTAACATTAGTCTCTACCTCTGTTCTTAGCAAAAATATTCCCACACAGTTCTCCAAAGATATTAATGCCTCATTTAAATTCTCCAGGAAAGACTGACCATTGTCAGAGCTGTGGGGCCCATGGAGCAGTGAAAACCTCACGGCCCCAGGTCTGGCTCCAGCTGGAGCCCAGCCAGAGTGAAGGCCTGGGTGCCAGGTGCCAGAGGAAAACCGGTGCCAGCAGCCAAGGGAAAGGAAGGCCTATTATACAGCCTCTAGTCCTATGTAATAAAAAGCTAATATGAAAATCGACCAAATGGTGGGACAACTGGTCGCTATGATGTGCACTGACCACCAGGGGGCAGACACTCAAAGCAGGAGCTTCCCCCTGGTGGTCAGTGCACTCCCACAGTGGGAGCACCGCTCAGCCAGAAGCTGGGCTCATGGCTGGCAAGTGCAATGGTGGTGGCAGGAGCCTCTCCTGCCTCCGCAACAACTCTAAGGATATCTGACTGACGGCTTAGGCCCGCTCCCTAAGCCGTCAGTCAGATATCCCCTGAGGGCTCCCGGACTGCGAGGGGGTGCAGGCTGGGCTGAGGTTCCCCCTGCCCCCTGAGTGCACAAATTTCATGCATCAGGCCTCTAGTATCAATATATATCAAAAGCCAGCCACTGGAACACTGGAATAACCAGAATGACCGGTTGCTATGATGCCCACTGTGGCCTTATCTGTGGGTGAGGCCAGCCGGCCAACCTCCTGCAGCCCTTCCCACTGGCCGGCCCTATTCCAGATCAGCCCCCCTCCCCAATCAGGGGCAGGGCCAGCCAGCCAGCCACCCATGGACCCTCCCCCAGGCCACTGACCCCTTATTGCCCCCCCATCCCATTCTGGGACAGGACCAGCTGGACCCCACCCATGCATGAATTCGTGCAGAGTGGAAACAAATTATAGACTGATAAAAAGTCATTAGATAAAATGAATTTGTTTCAAGGAGCCAGTAGAACTACTACCTTGCTGCTTCCTTTTTTGCTTCTGATTCTTACCTTACCTGTTACCGCTGCCTGTTCTACCTTCTCTACTCTATCCACAGTGGGACCTGAGAGCTTCAGGAAAGCTGTGGGCTGGATGCTAATATTGGTATTTTCTTTTCCATTACAATTGACATACAGTATTACATTAGCTTCAGATGTCCAAGTTTAACTTACAAAGTGATCACCCCATAAGTCTGATACCCATCTGACACCATGTATAGTTATTATAATATTATTTTTACATTGCTCTTTTAAATATGTCTAATAAAGGTTAGGATAAGTCTGTTGTTTGTGATGATCTTTGATTTTAGGAGGTGAAAATAGTGATTTGAATTAACTTTCAGTGCTTAGAACTTTCTATAAACCAGGAAGCAAGTAAAACCAGATGCCTAAATGTAAATATTAAATGTAATACCAGGATGGTATTTAGCACTTAGTTCATCATCTGACCATTTTGGGAATGCATTGTTATCCCTAAGGACAATGTCCATGCCCGAAGACTTTTCTGGATATAACTAGGTGGTTTTTACTTTGGGACTGTTATTCTGGCTCAGTTGACAAACATTTCTAACAGTGTAAAGTGTGCTGCTGCAGCAGCTGGCTAGCCCTAACCTACTTGTTTGCTTTAAAAAAAAAAAAACCTAAAGGTAAGAATTTACATATTCAAAAGGTAGTTACCTGCTATTTCCACAGTGAAGTGACATTTTCTGTCTAACTCAACTTTAATGGAATAATTATTAAGCGGATAGTGACAAAGTTTATACTGTTCCAATTGTCATGGTGACATAAATAGACTATTTAAAAACTAGTGAAGAGATAAACTGTTCATTCTTTAAAATATTAATGTAATAATTATGTTACAATTCTCTTCCATTCTAGGATTTTAACCCCAGCAGAGTATACCATGATAGCGCTGCGAGATTTTTTATGACAATTGTAGGGTCTTAATTTTGTTGGCAACCTAATATGAGATAATGTATTGAATAGAATAGGCAAAAATATTCCCCACCTTCTAGTCCCATTCAGTTTTTGTGTTATGTGCTATTATCTGATTTTACACACATAAACAGAAAAGACAAATTATATAATCATTATACTAATATATTTAGTAAAATGAATGGAACCAAAGGGTAGGACTTATTAAAAATGCTTTGTGCATACTCCCCAAAGAATGCATGGCATTTAAAAAGGGGTTTGTGTTTTAAGAAAAGCATACATTTCTCTAAATATCCTGTTATGATGCTTATAGAATTTTAAAACCCAGTTATTCAACATAATGATCTGCAAAAATGCTTATAAACTATACAAGGTAATAAGTTTTAGAGGCAGGAAGGATCAAAAAGCTATTTCTAAAGATATTAGCTTTATATAAATTCTGATTTTTTTAAATTTATAAATACAATTACTTGGGGAAAATAATTCTTTTTTTAAGAAGGGTTTTATTTCACTGTGTCAGAAAACACTCTGTATTATTATAGGTTGTATTTTTTTTTTTTTGCATTCCCTAATCAGTATTGAGGAAGGCGGCAGCTATGGCTTCATAGTTATTCTCACACCCTCGATAAGAAAGTACCATCTCAGGCAAGGACAGTTTCACTCTCCATATATGGCATTTTACCAAGTAGTTTGAAAAATTAGATAAATTTTTCTTCATCCCAGCATTATTTATAATAATAAAATACAAAATAATGGCAACCTAAATATCTATCAGGAGAATGATTAAAAATAATTCTATAACACATTAGTAAACTATTCTGAGGCCATTGAGATTCATGTTTTAGAAGAATGTGTAATGTCAGGAGAATTGACATTAAGTGTGAAACCCAAATAGGGAGGTTTTCCTCCAGTCTAACTGAGCTTGTTGCTCTTCACATTTAAGTTGGTTTTCTTCTGTTTACATGATATGACTATTGAGCATTGCTTGGCAGCACCACTAAAACTTAAAAACAAACAGACAAACAAAAAAACTTAAAGCACATAGGTATACCTTAGTGATATCGCAGGTTCAGTTCCAGACCACCACAATAAAGCAAATTTCTTAATAGAGCAAGACACAATTTTTTTTGGTTTCCCAGTGTATATAGAAGTTATGTTTAAACTACATCAGTCTATTAAGTGTGCAATAGCATTATGTCTAAAAAATGTGCATACTTTATTGTTAAAAAAATGCTAAGCATCATCAGAGCCTGTTGGAAAATAGTGCCCACTGACTTGCTTGATGTAGGATTGCCACAAACCTTCCGTTTGCAAAATAAGACATTATCTGCAAAGCACCATAAAGCGAAGAGCAATAAAATAAGGTGTGCCTGTAATGCTTTCTGTGAACACCTCATTTCCCTCTCTTCAGAAGTTCCATTTTCTAGCCTTCAGTCATTTCGTTATTACTCCTCTGAACTCTGCCATATTTTTATGCGCATTTACAAAATACGCCCCTCCACTACCGAGGAAAGGAAGTGAGAGAGATGGGGGAGAAGACACTAGAAGGGAGATACTAATTGCAAATACAGTTCAGGCTGTCAACACCACGTGATCAAACATCATGAAATGATGAATAACAAGGAAATGATGATGATCAACCATCGCCAAGTATCAAAACCACATTGAACACAGGTGTAAGCCTTCTGTAGAGGTAAGCTAGTCAATGTTAAACAACTGGGTCTCTGAAATAGAAAAACCCTCATTGGTAGCACTGACCAATTTCCACCATGTAATACTCCCAGGATGATTTCAAGGAACCCATGTGATGTCCACTGGTTCACTAAAATTCCTGACAGTTTAACAATTGGCTTTCCGGAGTTGTTGCTAACAGCTCACAAATATTGCATTGGCTGGCAAATATTGCATTCTGATTTCTTAATTTCACTTTCTCTTCTGATACTAAGAAATAGTTACTTTTTAGGTGTCCATTTTACTTAGCTCTTTCTAAACAGAGAATGAATTTGACCTTATGGGTTGAGTTAAATTACCCAAGAAATAAATAGTTCCAACCAACAAAAATTTCACTATTTATTTAGTCTATTGTATTTTTAAAACAAAAATTAATAGTTTAGGTCAGGGGTCCTCAAACTACGGCTTGCGGGCCACATGCAAATACAAATATTGTATTTGTTACCATTTTGGGTTTTTCTACTTCAAAATAAGATATGTGCAGTAT